TTTTATTAAAAACAAACTCTGGCCATCCAGCAGCACTCCGAAGCAGCTGGAGAGAAGAGCGGCTGAGAGGAGACCCCAACCAGCAGGAAAGTGAGCTTATAAAGGGAACACCCCCCATGAGCTAGGGGAATGCAAACTTGGCGTTTTCTGATTGGTTCATTGGGGGGATGCTTCTTAAGGGAAAAACATCAAGCTAGGGGAGTGCAAGCCTTGGCGTTTTCTGATTGGTTCATGGGGGATGCTTCCTGGGTCTATTGGCCCTGGGGTTAAGTAAGCATTTGGAAATTTTGGTTAGAGAACTGGTGACCTATTGAGACATCTGGTGACCATGATAAGATGTCTATTTCCTCAGTGTCAGGCTGATCCAGCGGGATGTGGAGGCTCTAGAGCAACTTTTAAATATTTGTGGTTTTTTTGGGAATTGGGTTCAGGGTCTGGTCAGCAGTTTCTTAAGATGGTGCCCACCCTAAAATGGCATTAGTCTTGCCTGCTGGTGTCTGGCCCCTCAGTTGATTAATAGCCCTTTGTTTAAGAAACTGAATCTTAGACTCAGCTTGTAAAATGAAGTTTAGACCTCTCACAGTCAGCTGGCCAACTTAATAAAATTCAACAAATTGGTTTTGATTGAGTCTGAGTGGTCTTTCCCAGGGGTCTGCAATCCCCTAACACCGTATCACAGCAAGGCCGAGTCAGGAGAGCCACCTGCTGTGTGACAGAAACGAGAGCAAAATAAAATAAAGGGACAGAATGTTCCCAGTGGGAACTATTGCTACGCATCTCATATGCTTTTGGTTTTGTTCTCTAAACCTTTTGCTAAGGTATCTTAAAGGAACCACGTGGTATGTCATTTTTTCATAAACCTACAAAGGAGGAAACAACTGTTAGCTATGAAGCCCAAACCAGATGATTCCTCCACTATTTTCTATCACGATAGTGAATCCCCACTAATCAGCCTCAACCAGCAGTCCCTTCTCTTTCTCTCCAGCCCCTCTGGTTTCCCTTTCTGCCTCCTCAGCAAAAGGCTGCCCACTCAGACAGGGCTGGTTATGCGACATCAGAGTACTCCACTATCACCTATAAGGCCTTGTTCTATGAATACCAATTAGGTATCCAATATATTACCCAATCATATCACCTCACCTTTCATGATGTTTATATGATTCTTGCCAACAATCTCCTCTCAGAGGAGCACAGGCAAGTCTGGGAGCAAGCTAGGGCCCATGCAGATGAATTCCACCAAACTGAGAATACCTACCTAGTTGGGGCTATGGCAGTCCCTGACCAGGACCCTGAATGGGAATATAATACCCCAGCGGGGCATCCTAGCTAGGAAGCGATTTTTAATTTGCCTCCTGGCTGGTCTCTACAAGGCTGCCCTTAAGATAGTAAATTATGAGAAGATCCCAGGGGTCATCCAGGAAAAGTACTAAAACCCATCTCAATTCTCAGACTGCCCTACAAAGGCCCTCTTACAATAGCTCTTTATGACTTACTTTTTTCCCAAAAGTTACCCTGATATTAGGGACAAACTTAAATGTCTAGAAAAGGGCCCCCTGACTCCAGTCAGAAGTCTTAACTGTGGCCTTCAAGGTGTACCATGGGAGAAATGGAAAAGCCCCAAAACAAAAATACCTGATGATGGCTAAGGTCTCTCATCTGGCTAAAGCAAAAGCCCAGGCTCCCTCATCTCCTAAAGCCCAAGAACCTCTGTGTACCTGTTTCAAATGTGGTTGGGAGGGTCACTGGGTCTAGGGCCTGTCATAAACCACCCAGACCTTGTCCAAGGTGCCATCAAGAAGGGCACTGGAGTGTTGATTGCCCCCATGTTCCTTGTGGCATGAGGACATCAGCCCCAGATCACCTATGTAGGGGACACGGTAACCACACCTACTCGGGGCTAGCTACAGGTCCACGCCTGTGAGCAGGTGTGGTTACGGTGTCCCCTACACACCTATCATCTGACTTCCTTGGTCTCACCATTAATAATCGAGGGGGTCTGGGCTCCCTTGGCCTGACCACCACCATCTCTGACAGGGAGCCTCGGGTAGTTACAGTATCAGGGCAGTTCATCTCCTTCCTTCTGGACACCAGAGCCACCTTTTCAGTCCTGATGAAGTTCTGGACACCCACCACTCCTTGTTCCTCTATTGATGGAATAGGGGGGCAGCCTTATCAGGCTCACCAAATCCCACCACTTAGCTGTACCTCCCTTACCCATTCCTACATACATATATCAACCTGTCCCATCCCATTGCTGGGAAGGGACCTTCTAGCCAAAATGGGAGCCTTTATTTCCTTTGCTCCCCCCCCATCCACTTTACACGGGCTTGCCAGCCATTCCCCTTCTTCTTCTCCAAACTACACAACTGACACACTTCTACCCTTACCAGCCTATCAGGTAGATCCTCAGCTATGGGACACCCAAAACCCCTCTCAGCAATTTGACTACAAAACCCCACCAAATATATAACCAAGGCTCAATATCCATTTTCACTCCAAAGTCTCAGGGGACTTAAACTCTACTCTGACTTCCTAAGAAACAATCTTCTGCGCCCCACTTCTTTCCCCTTTAATAACCTCATACTATGGAGCCTACGACTTGGTTCAGGATCTCCAACTTATCAACTCAGCAATAGTTGCCCTTCATCCTTAAACTCTCCTCTCTACCATCCCCTCAGAAACCTTTCATTTCTCTGTCAGTGACCTCATGTTAGATGCCTTCTTTTTTATTCCTCTGGATCCCCAGTCACAGAATATCTTTGCCTTTACTTGGACTGACCCAGACACACATATTTCTACCCAATTCACTTGGACAGTTCTGTTTCCAAGGGAAATAACTGAACTGATGAGGCAGCTAGAGCTGCAACTCTAAGGAGCCTGGGTTCCCATCACATGTCACAAGGCTCTCTCATTTCGAAACCCATGCCTCCATCACCATCTCCAGATACTCAACAAACTTTTTCCTATCTGCACCAGGTCTTTCACCATAAGAGTCAGGCTTTGTCCCACTTTACTGAAACCTATTTATAGTCTACCTCTGAGGATCTATCCCATTTAAAGACTATCACTATTTCTTGAAAAGTTTGCAAAACGTCTAAGCCTACCTCCAGGCACCAGAGTCTCCCTTTCCCCACTCATCAAGCCAGGGGATCCCTGTCTGGATCAGACTGGCAGCTCAACTCGACTTCTCCCACATGCCTACAGTTTAAAGCTTCAGATACCTTTTTTCCTTGTAGATACCTTCTCAGGATGGCTAGAAGTTTTTCTCATCACTAATAAAAGATCACAAACAGTTTCTGATCTCCTTTTTAGGGAGATCATCCTCCGTTTTTGGAGTTCCAACCTCCCTTCAATCAGATGAGCCTGAATTTACCTTTCTAATCTAAAAACTTTGGACAAAGCCCTTAACAACCCATATCTCCTACCATCCCCAGTCTTCAGGCAAAGCTGAACAAACTAATCATTCTCTCAAAAATATTCTTATCAAACTTTCCCAAGAACTACATACAGATTGGATAAAACTCCTGCTATTGGCTCTCCTGTGACTAAGCCCTTCCAAAGAAGCCCCTCTTCATTCCCCCCTTTTTTGACAAAACTGATCTCATCTCGTCATACTATCTCTTGTTTCAAACCTTAATCTCTGCATATCAGTTATTGAATAATGCCTTGCCTAACTGCTTTGAAGAATACTGGTTGTGCAACTAGAACCAAAGAAATGCACCCTGACCCTGAAAACCAGTGCCAAAGAAACACACTTTGTCTCTGGAGTCAGAGCCAGTGAAAGAAATACACCCTGGCCCTAAAACTAGAAGCAAAAGGCTAAAAAGGACCAGTGAAAGAAACATACTTTGGCCCTGAAACCAGAGCCAAATCTGACCCTAAACCTGTGCAGAAAACTAACCAATCCTGGAGCAGATCTAGCCATCCTAAACTCAGGGATTGAAATCTGACCAAACCTCACCCTGGAAAAACTCCACCCCATAAAAATCCCTATATAAACTCTGTGTCTGTTCAGCTTGTGGTTGTTCAGGCTGCCCAGCTGTACTCTGCCATCCTGACATAGAGCAGCCACTTTCCTGGATCCTTCTCTCCCAATAAATCTCTTGAATGAGGTTTGGGTGAGACCAGAGAGGACCCTGGGTAGAGAGGAACTTCGGCTCTTTGGGGCAGGGGGAGGGGGGTGAGGCAGAATCGTAACAACTTTGCCAGGAAGCCCGCTCCTGCAGGAGCAGAGCTGATACACCAGGGAAGCCTTTCACTGAAGCAAAGCTGTAAGCTGCTATGCGTACTGTGACCGTGGTATTTCTTGGCTCCCGAGTGCCAGCCAGGATACCTTTCTATCCAAGCTGTAACACTCAGTATTCTGTGACTCCTGAGTGCCAGAATACCTTCCCATCTGAGCTGTAACACTCAGTATTCTTTGGCTCCCGAGTGCCATAATCCATCCCTGTCCATACCAACACAGCAGGGCCAAGGAGCCACTGGGTGAAGCACAAAAATGGAGTTAGCTTAATGCAAAACAGGTTACCTTGGTCAGTTCACCATCCCCTCCCATTGGCCTTTGAGGTATGGTCAAGCCCTCATTTGGTCCCTTCATTAACTGCTTACACATCTCGCCTTCTCCCTGGTTCCCAAGGAAGAAACCTGGCCAGAATGCGCAGTGCTCCTGGAGGTTCCAGGAAGTAGTGAGTACCAATCCTGAAGAACGTAGTCGCAGCAACAAACTGTGTGTGGGGGGGTGTCTCCTAGGAAGGAAGAGGACAAACGAGCTCTGTGATCGTGAACCTGCTATTTTTGGAGACGAAAAACTAGAGCAGGCAAGCTGGCCAGGCTGTCCACTTCCCCTTGTGTTGGGACCAGACGTCGCCTGCACGCTCGGGACAAGAAGCGCGCACTGACTTGGGAAAGCGCAGGCGCACAGGCAAAGAGGGAACTGAGAGAGATGCGGATGTTATCAGAGCGCAGGCGCAGCAGATCTCTGGAAAACCGCGCGCCCCTGAAAAGACGCAGTACGCAAGCGCTGGAGCCTCCCCACTGAGGGCAGGCGTGTGCAGACTGCACGCAGGTGTGGGTCCTGGTCAGAGCCCAAAAGGCAGCCCGTGAGTTTCCGGTTCCGGCAGGAGCCAACGGCAGCCCAGGCCACAAAACTAGTGCTTTGGCGGAGCTTGCGGTGGAGGTGAAGGAGGAAGAAGAGTGGACCAGGCGGGGCGCGCGGGCGCGGGATCGTCCCCATGGGTCCACGGG